AAGCAGAATTTCAATTTGGTTCAGATAGTGAAAAGAATAAAAGATTTTTGTTGTGATTTTGGTTATTGTTTAAGAAACAGGTATGAGGTTGTCTTTTCTTCTACTTTTCGCATCTAAAAACACTGCTACAGGGACTTCATTTTTTTGAATTGAGGGACTTCAGTCTTCATTACGTTTGAACTTTGCACCTTATTTTTATATGTGGATGTTAGCACTGTTCTCATAGTTCTGTAGGGCAATACTGAAATTTTTACCAAGTGGCCAAATGAATACTCAGTGCTTTTCTTTTTAAATCAGTAGCAGAACCAAGCACGGCTCCAAGTGGCCTGGGGCTATGGTCAAAGGGTCTGAAAAATTCCATTTTGTTTTGGACAAAACAACATTTCTTTGTGATGTTTGTGCAAATGGTTACCTAGATGGTGAGAATCAATATAAAATTATATTTAGCTTTATAGCCTGTTATCTGCTTTCTACATGTACTCTCTTCCTCACTCCTATTCCAACAGCCTCTCAGAAGTTCTCATAATAGTTCAAGTTTGGATCAAATGTAATTTCACTGCTTGGGTTCTTTTCTAACAAAGTGCAAAATTAAATGATATTTGGATGTTTGTACAGTACGCTGAATTATATCCATGCTGAAATCAGTGAAAATCCAGGACAGATAGTTTTGCCCTTTATATTTGTATATTTAACTTTAATGGATATTTTGGGGAATAAATGATTAATCCACCCAGCATACAAACACCTAGTTTTTGATGCAGAATTTATAGGCAGGAATGTTACTAGAAGTACTTCCAGATAATTTAAAATTATTTAAACCTTTTTCAGTTAATTGTAATCTCAAACCTAGCTAATTAAATGTTAGTTTATATGAACTATATCAGTATCACATTTGCAGGATCAAAATAAAATCTGTTTTAAAAAAAGATGGTCATGATCAAGAGGAAGCTCTTCCATCCATTACTTCTTCCTGGCATTACTGTGAACCATCCAAACATAAGCTCAAGTGATTTGATAATCCCTCGGAAACCATAAAACAGAATAGAAAGCTTTGTGATCTTAGCTGTTATTATAAGAATCAGCGCAACTATTTCAAAATACAGACAGGATAAAACAGAGGTAATACTATGAAATGCTATCGCTACAGTCTCCCTGTGGATGATTTCGACAGTCAGTCAGTCTTTCTGTTGCCCTGCACTATGTCTTCTAATTTCTACTTCTTGAATTTCTTCAGCATCAGTGAGGTGTGGCTGCAGCTCTCTCGCTTCTAACTCTGGTCCCTGCCATTTTTTAACCTTACTTCTCTATGGAGTCATTGTATCTTGAAGGGTGAACGCTGCTGCCAGCATTTCATTTTAAATAATGCAGTATATTTTATATTTTTTTAAATTGCTGTGTAGCTACATTGTCACTCAGAAACCTTGTTATATATAGTTCTTTTTGCATAGGCACATGCTATAAAGGTTTGATTGACAAGAAAGTTTATTTGAAATGGATCTGACGTGTCATCAGTATAGAACAAGTCTTTTGAATGGCATCTTAACGGAAGAAATATTACACCAGTCACAAGGAGCAGGAGTAATAGTACTCGTTATTACTGCAAGACTACATTAGGTCAGCAACCTAAAGAGCTAGTATCTTTAAAATGTACATGTTATCTAACATCAGCTTCACCCCAGCAGCCCAAATGTCTTTCCAGCCCTCTGATTGGTCAAAAAATAGTGTAGCTGTGCTTTTTACTGATTCTGTAATTTTTGAGGTAGTTTTGTCACAAGCAATTGACAAGGGTTTTAACACAGAATGGCTGTTTGAGTGAGCCACATTTCTAATTTAGTTTGTATCTATTGCAAAAAAAACCTTGGAATATTCTCTTTAATAACTTGAAATTTTAATAAGGACCTTAGGAACAGTTGAAAAGTGAGTGAACTTGTATTTAAATTAGGGCTTTGAGAGCTTGGAGATTCTAACTTGGTGAACTCTAATTAAATCCCACAAGGCCACCAGGTCTGCCTCCCTTGCTCTTGATGGTGAAAGTAAGGTCTTCAAAAAGAATCTTTCGGCAGTATACAAGTGGGAGGAAAAAAATCATTCAACCTTTCACTATAGCATTTTATAAAGCAAGAATTCCTGAAGGAGTACCAGAAAAGAGGAACAATAGTTAGAGCATGAAATTGAAAAAAGCTGAGAAATATATTTTGAGTATTAGTGTAGCAGTCTTTCTGAAATTCGGTTTTGTTATGTTTTTAGAGAGGCCATTGTTTATACAAATTGTAGTGGACCTGGGGCTTTAGAAGGTGCGATGGTAAAAAAATTTTGTTATTGTTGCTGAGGCATTATTTCCAGGTCAGATATGGAGACAGGAATCTTGGCTGAGAGTTTGAAATTCTGCTGCATTTGGTAGAATTTTTTTGGCGTGTTAGTCAATTACTGGCGTTTAAATGAGTGCGTAGCATGCATGTTTCAAAGCACATAAAAAGGACAAACGGGTTACTAGGTAACTTTTTAATGTTCCTTCCAGCACAACTTTTTATGATAACTAAAGGTTTTACTGGAAGCTGTGAAGATCTAAATATTTTAATTTTTATATTGTATACTTTAAAAAATTATGTAAATGGTGATTGAAGTAACAATTAGCTGTAAAAAATTGACAGCTTCCTTCTTCAGCAAAATATAACAATAGCAACAGGTGATTTAAAGCCATTTCAGATTTTTATTCGTTTTCCATTTTTGTTCTAGTGACATAATAATGTCAGAATGAAAGCCATTTTTATCTTGCCAGCCATAAAACTGTGTGACAACAATAGCTTTGTCCATTCAAATGTAAAAAACATGAACATATATATCTCCATTTTGAAAATTTACCATTCTTTCCAGAGAATATGACTTTTCATGAAATATGACGGAGAGCTTTCTGTTAAAATAACATAGCCATTTAGGTCTCTTTCACTAAAACATATCTATTTATGGTAAAATCAGTTCTTCATATAGATGAAGAAGATTTTCTTGTTTTTAAGAAAATACTCCCAAAATTAAGAAAAAATTCCATGATATATGTTTTACAAAAAATTATGATTTAGTTAGCTATCTGTAAAAGTCTGCTGCCATATAATCCTTGGACATTTATTTATCGTTTTTCTTCCAGAGAAATCCTTCAGATTTTCTTGCCCTCCTCACTATGCTCCTTAAAAGCTTTATGTCGTGGCAGCCATATGAAAGGTTGATAGTGATGTTCTCCCAAACTCAACAATAACCTGCATTCTTTCCTGCATCTTTGCCTCTCAAAGCACTAAACAAATTCACCAGTCAATAATTATTTCTATTTTCTGATATAAGGACCCAGATTCTGACACAGATTGTGTGCATCTTTTCCTATGGAAGGTTTCAGAACAGATTTTTATGGAATTGATCTAATTAAAAGACAGATGAAATTGATCTCACTGAAGTTCTTTTTTATATACTTCTATAGCATGAGGAATAACAGACATATCAACCTTCTCCTGAAATTAATTCTTTTCAGTAAGATTATATGAATTGTTTTATAGTGACTTCACCGCAATTCTGTGTGAACATAACTAATCTCCCACAAATTAAGGCAGTCCCATAATTTACTGTATAAAGAATACCACTGATAATAAAAAAGTCATTCTCACTTGGAAGAGGGCTGCTTTGGTCTGCTACCAGTGAAAAAATCAGACATGGGATATCTATAATATGGTTTATGCATGAAAAATATACGATGCTTTCTTTTTTGCTATATAAATATACTGTTATATGTTCAGTTCTGCGTAAATGAATCAACTTACAAACTGTTTTCTTCTGTACTTGAGTCTTGTGAAATATGTAAGCAGTTTTTCAATAATTGCCTGAAATAATACAGAATATAGCAAAGTAAATAAGCCAACCAATACCAAAAATGAATTCATTTTAAACAGAACATATAAAAATCTGTTCCTTCTTAAACAGTATAGTTCCAGAGCATTTAATTAAGGTGATAGAATTACACTAGGATAAAAGAGAAATAAAGTAGAATGAGTTTCTGAGTTTCAAAGAAAGGTGCTGATTTTGGTATTGCTAGTGTACAAACTAATTGATTTTCTTCCAACAAGATATACATCGCTTTTGTGGTTTAGATCTGTTACATTTCAGAGAACTTCATTCATTTGTATAACCTCACATAATGTACAAATATAAATACATTTTAAGGAAGACGATGTGTTCCTCCATCTTGTACAAAATATACGGGAAAATACTCAAAAGATTTGTATTGTACCTTTGTAGCTCCTGTCAACTGTATGCATCAAAAGAAGATTAAAGTGCAGTATGTGTCATTTAGCTTACTTATAAATCTAGACAGACTCATCCTTGATGTTTTTCTTAATACACCTCTGACCTGAAAGAGGTATTGAACTATTATGTACTATCTTTGTTGCTGAGTATGAGATGCAAAAGTATTGTTTTTTCCTCTTTTGAACTCTTTTTTTTTTTTTTAATGAAAGTGTTGCAAAGGCTTTCATGGTTTGATTCTGAAGTGGCAGTACCCATTCCTTAGATATAAAAGTAACAGGTATGAAATACGAAGGTACCTTTAAGTTGTTCTCTGATCAAAGCTCTGCACATTGATCAAGTGCATTAGGAGGAAAGACCCATTTTCAGGAACATTAATATGTTTAGCTTGAACTAACTCTGATCTCAGGCTTGTGAATTACAAACTGGGTAAACTGTTTTTATAGAACTCTTAGTTCCTTTGGTTCTTCTGTATCTGTGAAAAATAGAAGCTAGAGACCACTTGTCACACTCCAGTAGTGAGGAATGTATATTATTTTTCTTAAGGTTACAAATTCTACCCTATATATTGTAAATTAATTTATTTTTGCAAGCAGCGATTGAAAGAACTAACTAAAAACAATCCCTGTGTAGCTTATCCTAAAAAAATGTAAAAACTGTAAAAATGATGTGAAAATTATTAACCCTAAGTTCTGTTTATGTTTTTTTTGTTTCAGCAGAGAATGCTTATTAAGCAGCATTTCTCAGTGGGATAGTGCGAAACAGGCTCTTTTTCGTCTTCCCTCGTTGCCTGTTGGTATTGATTTACAAAGTCCTAAATGGCTCAAGACTTTTCTGTCTAAGAGAGCTTCACAGCTGTGATCAGGAGCAGTGCTTACAGTAGAGTCCCCATCATTGTAAAAGAAAAAGGGTAGCATGATAGAGCGTTCTCTCTACGGGGACAGATTTGAAAATGCTTCTCGTGTTTGCTTTGAAACAATGTGGTGCATGGCTGATATTTAGGGCACGCTATTTGAGGGAATCCATGAATGCCCCTAGAAAAGGAAGGAAGAAATAAGGGGGGGTTGATTATGATGATTTGTTGGATCTCTTTTTGTTCTGAGATTTGTTGGCAGGCTTTGCTACTAATTTGATCTCATTTGTTTTGGTAATTTGATCTTTTGTTTTTGTAATTCATGGAAAAGTCACTAGAAAGATGCTGCCTTAGAACATATTTATACATTTAAGAAATAACAGTGAGTCTTTAATAGATATTGCTAAATACCATTGAAATTGATGGAATTTTATTTCTAGGGGATGATTTTAAACATCTGTAGGAAACATTTTAGAAGACTTGATGACATAATATCATAATCATTATTGTCTTGTGTTTTCTATTAGACTCATATTTGTGTCTTTGAAGTAAAGACACTAAAATATTGACATTTCTTTTTCTGCCTTGCTAGATAGAAAGTTCTTTGAGACATGCGATTGTTTGATTGGAGATGGGCATTAAAATCCAGTGTTCTCAAAAGGCTATGTCTGGCTTTATGAACTATTTCTTTGTTTGATTATGTTGTTGCCTGTTGGAAACTTGTGGTTCTGTCTCAGCTGTTATTTTAACTGAATTTTAAATGTACCCACCAAGATATTCCAGTAAAAATAAAACTGGGTAGACTAACATTATTCTGTGAAGGTTCTTTATTCCATAAGATGTTCAAATTGCCTGAGGTGCAAGATGCTGAAGTTTAATGGTCAAGTTTAAATATTAGCATTGTGTAGTGTGGGAGCATGAGTGTGGCAAAAAATGAAAGACTACGGAAAATCTGTTATTTCTTCTTCTCTTCTCTTACAAAGTTCTGTTCAAGGTATGAGTGCCATCTTCCTTAAGCTATTGACTAAGAAGGAGATTAGGTAGTCCTATATTACAGAAGGGAAACAATTTGCAAACAAGGAAAAGCCTTTCAGCACATGTTCATTCATTTAAGTCTCCCTGCATGTTTTAGATGATCTGACTATGTATAAGGCTCTGCAATTGTGGCTTGGGACCCGTTGTGACCACTTTCACTCTAACTCACTCTAATGCTGTGCTTTTGCACTGTAGGAGAAAGAGCTGATCTCTTTGGAGAAGAGCTTTCCAACAAAGCAGCAGTCTGGATGTGTTGCATTTACTGAAATTTCAACCTAATTGTAACATTTTTACCTGACCCTAACAGGCATTGGATTACCTTGATGAAATTCATCATAGTCTGATTTACAGACTATTTCCTACATGTTCAGTTATTAGGCACAGCTATTTTCTTCAGCTGGGCAGAATATGTTAATTTAACTGACTCGTAATGAGACAGGCGTAAGAACTTGTCACTCAGAGTATGGGTCTACAGAGGATTCTCCCTTCAGAGAACTTTGGTTGCAAGGGAAAATTCCCTTTGTGACTGATAATAGTGATTCTTTTTCGCAGTAATGGATGGGGAAAGGGTAAAAAACATGGTATTCAGGATATCCCAATACACTTCAGTACAAATTAAATGTATCAAAAATATATGGGTTCAGGATCTGTTTGAACAGGTAGAAGCAAAGACATGAACACACCATTATATCTTACGGCTGAGAGCAGTATAACAGTGAAAGAATCCTAAATAATGAGATTTCATAGAAAATTCTTGCTCCTGCATGCCCCACATCATGACTTTCATTTCCCACTAATTCATCCACACATTTGGGTAAGTAACTAAAAATGTATTCTGAATATTTTTATAACAATATTTTTCTGTTTAAAAGAAAAGACACTGCCAGACACCACCATCTGTTGTGTAGACCTACAGAATATGCATCTGATGTCTGTGAGTTGCTGTCTTTTATATCCTCTTATATAATTACAGATTTCAGCCCTTAGTGATGCCTCCTCCTCCACCTAAAGAAGACCAAGTGTAAGTTTACCCGAAGTGTATTAATCATTTTCCTGCTACTCACTGATAAGAGCAGTGCTCTGTATGGTTAAAAGCCATTAAACGTGTCTATTCAGAGGAGGTTAAAAATCCTCTGCTGAGCACTTGGCTAAAATCCAAAATTATTACCATAATACCTTCTGAAATGAGACAGAAAACATAATGTATTACAATTGATAAGTGCATCATTTGTGCTGTAGATTTATTTTATTTTGGAAATGTATTTAAATGTTTTATTTGTCTTTTACACACCACAGATTAAATTTTTAGTATACTTTTGGCTAACAATATTATATGTATCAAAAGAAATATGTATAATGCAAAAATATTTTATACTTAGATCAACAGAGCAATTACATTTTAAAAGGTTTACAAGCTGCTCTATTGATTCAGTTTAATTATAGTTCTGTGACTGGACTGCATTAATTGGACACAATCTAACGGGAAAATATTTCTACATTTTCATAAGTGACTATGGATTTTAGGCATTCCAACTCCTCTCTTCCCTGGCGTTACCCTTGCCTCCCTCCCCACGTCCTGAGGTTCCTTGAGTCATAATTACAACTGAGTGTGGGAGCATGTGTGCTTACACTGGCTAATCCAAATTCTATGTTGCCTTAAAAAATTCTTAAAATTGTTCATTCAGTATTTTGACAAAAACTGTTTTTTTTTAAGAAAAATACATTTTGTTCTCACATGTGCTCTGTAGATTTTAAACAAACTTACAACTGAGTTTTTAAGACTGAAAAAGATTTCAATGTTTGTGTCATTAATATCCAAAATATCTTTAGTGGAAATCACAATAAAGAAATTTTTTTTAAATGTACTACAGAAGAGCTGGCATTTTCAACTAGTTTTGTACAAACTGTAACTATCTAATTTCAAATACATAAGGTAGATCAAAGCATGAGATCAAGTATACCAAGTCTTCCTGAGCCAACTGAGTGCCTTAGTTGCTATGGTAAAGTAGTGGCCTCTTCTCTTTTGGACTCATGACTACCGCTTTCTTACCACTTGCCCAGATTCAGTAGGAAGTACCTAAAACAATTTTACTCGGAATAAAGTCGAAGTCAGATTGTTAGAACGGCAGTTTGACACAGCATGGTATTTCAAGACACATTATGCTGCGAATGTTGTAGGATGTAGCTCTCCTGCTTCGGAGGGTGCATCCTGTTCTCTAGGTTCAACACCCTGCATGCTGCAAAGTGCTGGTAAACCCTCTCTCAAAATGTAGTGCTTCCATTCCTACCTGCCATATGCATCCTACATCTGGAGCAGTGTGACAGCTAAGCAACTGGATGCTTACTGTTCAAGAAGCTAATTTCTGCTCTTGGTTATAGACTGTAGATTTTAAACAAACTTACAACTGAGTTTTTAAGACTGAAAAAGATTTCAATGTTTGTGTCATTAATATCCAAAATATCTTTAGTGGAAATCACAATAAAGAATTTTTTTTTTAAATGTACTACAGAAGAGCTGGTATATATATCTGAGCTTATATATATCTGAGCTTATATATCTGACTTACAGTGCAGATAAGATTGCTTCTCTGTACATATTGGATCTTAAATACAGATAGAGCAACTCTTTTTGGTCCAAAATGGAAGTACAAATTGTTTCTAGGTAACTCTTGGGCTAGCTTTAATTTGAGATAGGGTGGTTGAAATAACTTCCCTGATAATTCAGTTCCTAACTTCTGCTAAATTGGGAACTTGGAAGAATATAGGAGATCTAAATCTCCCCCAAAACTATTGTAAATGAGTGTTCTCTCCCAGAAGGCAAAAAAAAAAGACTTTTATTTTAACCACAGTTCTTGCTTTTGCACACTTACCATTATAATTGTTATCACTATTGATTCTCCTGCGTTTGGAATACAAGCGTTTCAGGACAATATTTATTTCTTCAGAAAATTATGCTTTATTAATTAAAAATATTATGAATGTGTTAGTGATTTTAGATTTTGTTAAAGCTCTTTTTTATTAAAATCATATTTTTGGGCCAAATATGATCTGACAGTATGCGTGAAAGTAATCTTAAATTTTACAAGTGTACATCTCTCATGGAAATTTCTGGAATGAAACTGAAATAATCTGCTTGGATAAGGTAGATCTGTTCAGCACTTAATTGCCCTTGAGATTATACTTGCTGAACTTCAAAGGTTTGAACTAATGACGTTCATTTACTTAAAGCACTCTTTCTTTTGCTCAGCTCTAAAATTTCTACTGAAATTAGGACTGAAAGGCCTAAATGTGGTTGGCAAAAGAAGATATTTGTTAAACATACCATCAGTATTGATTCTAGCTAAAAAAGTCATAGTTTATTTCCCTATTGGTTACATTTTGACCTTTGTTAAGCTGTCATATAAATTACATTTGTCTTTTTAATACCACCACGAACCACAATGCAGATTTTGTGGTTGGATAATTGTGTTATATATTGGTCTACATCTGAATTAACTCCCACCTTGGGACAGATAAACCTTATAATATCCAAGTTTGGTTAAATTCCGATTCTTCATTTCAAAGTTCTGCTTATATAAAGGCAAATCAGCTATTTCTGAATGAACATAGAACTTCTGATTGGTATTTTAAGTAGCTTTCTTAGGTCTGCCTTCAGACTTATGGGTAATAGAGCTTTTGATTAAGATTGACACCTATACTAAAAAAGACTTGAGTTGAAAGTTTGAATGGTGATTATTGCTAACTTATCTTCTAGGAAGAGCCTCTCCTACTCAAGGGTTACAGAAATAAGAAACTGCACAATGGCCAGATGTCACATTAGCATATGCAAATTCATCCTACTCATGCAAAGCTATTCACCATAAGTGTGACTAGCTGCAGCAGACTTGCTAAGACTGTCAAAAACAACCACTGTTGATGGTACTGGAACAGGAGTAAATGGTTAAAAGGAAAACAGACACACAAGAAATTCCAAATCTTTAATGACGAAGTACACCTCCCACTTGGGAAAATTTTGATCTATAGTTTTTGCGTGCTGATCTCATAAACTAAGTGATGTTTACAGGGACATAAGTAGTAGATGATATAAACTGGAATAGTGGCAGTTCAGTTTGGTCATATGACCTGGCATTAATTGGCAACTCCTTAGAGCTGCTGTATCACTTTCTTCTATGTAACACTTCTTTTCAATCGTCATCTTTTACCTTCCCTGTGTAATCTGAAGTGGCTTCCTGATAATAGTATTAACCTTAATCTCACCCCAATGTTCTA